TAACGTCTCCAAACTTTTTGTGTATTCCACATTCAATCCTTAACATAAACCATTTCAGGTCCGAAAACATGGCCGCACTGAATTAGTAATAAGTCGAAGGCATTCCTCCAAGCCATGTATTGAAACACTCGGGATTTACAGCTTACGTGACAACACGAAATGCAGTCGAAACTGCACTACTAATAATATATAGCTTGCTACCAACGCCATCTAGTATCGTGGCCCACAAACGTCAATCAGTTATTTATATAAAGCCATCAGTATTGTGATGTCTGTCAGTGTGCGCGCATCTCTCGGGCCGTGGCCTGCTGAAAACTATAATATCTGATGGCTATAAACCATTTACGATAGTGTCTAGCCAGATGAATTTATGACGTTTGCAGGGCTGTGCGATTGAAAGTTATTGATTTCAGTTTAGGAATAGTTTTGGTTTAATAATTCTTATACTGGCGAAGTTTTTTAATCTTTTCCTATAAATATAATGTCTGTCTTATTCTGAAATGGTCTGTTTAAATTAAATGGAGTATTTACCTTCATTATCATTCTAAATATTTCAGACGATAACTAACATCAACTACATCTTACCTTGTGTATCGTAATTGTAACTATAAGCATTAAAACGGACATTATAGAAGTACTTGAAGGACGCTGAAAGGTACGAAATGACGATACCTCTCACATTGGTAATACATATTTTGATTTTAACTATTTTGTTATAAACAACATATTTTGAACAATGAACAGCCCTGTATCTATCCTTTATGTGTTTTATCAATTGCATTTATGTACCAGCAATAGCAATATCAATAAACATCACTACATCATAACAGGTTGCACTACCAAACGTCTGCTACTTTTAGCTCAAACTACTTTATTGCCATAGATCCGAAGATTGCTCATTGTGACTCACGCCTTATTATCCCTAACTTTCTAAATCTAAACTTTAATACTATGCGCACAAAGTTTAAAATAAATTGTGATTTGTTTGATTAAGTTGGATGTAAAATGTGAAATGTCACTATAAACTTGGTATAAAATAGATCTGTTAGATGGTCGTCATGTTATTGAAATTGGTCTCTTTTAGTGTTTAATACCATTCTGTTAGAGACCATTGAACACATAAAAGTTCAAAGTTATATTGTCTTCAAGTCTAATTGAGATGCTTGATAACAAACTATATGACCGATTACATTGTACACCCTACACAAGTGATGGAAATGGAGATAACTAGATATGTAATAGTAGATGATATTCAGGTACCATATTGTAGATGCTGTCCACGACAAGTACCCTTTTTTGATAACGGGGAGAAACCTTAGAAAAAAGGCACCTAGCTTTTTTGGGGATAGAAAACTAGGTAGTGTTACCGTATTACCGTGGGAGAGCCATGCTTCGGCACGAATGGGCCGGCTCGACCGGAGTAATACCACGGCCTCACAGAAAGCCGGTGTGAAACAGCGCTTGCGCTGTGTTTGACCGAGTGAGTGAGGGTACCGGAGGCCCAACCCCCCCCCCCCCTTCATAATGGCGCAGTTGATACAAGAGTTTCTACCCCAGGAGGGTACCAACTGCGTTGGAGAATCCCTCTCTGGACGTCCATTTTCAGAACTCAACTACCCTGAGCGTGGACGTCCAGGCCGCCCCACATCGTACTCTGGGGGGGGGCAAAACTGCGCATCATAAAGCTGGAGGCAAGAGCAGAATAACCTTGGCACCCCTTGCCGCGCTGAATGTGGACTTCTGCAACATCAAGGGATTACACACCAACCTCAATGCTGTCCATCACCACCTTGAGACAGCAAAGCCGGCCTTGCTCTTTTTGACTGAGACGCAGATATCGTCTCCGTTGGACACATCCTACCTCACCTACCCTGGGTATGGACTGGAACATTCCTTCCTGCCTAGGGCCGGGGTGTGCGTGTACATCAGGGACGATATCAGCTCACGTCGCCTCAGTAATCTTGAAGGTAGGGACCTGTCCACCTTATGGCTGCGTGTAGATAACGACGACCACCCCCGTGTCTATGCGTGCCTATATAGGTCCCATAGCGGTGATAGCGAGACTGACCGACTCATGGACCACATCCAGGCGGCTGTAGATCTTGTGCAGGGGCAGATATCCTCAGCGGAAGTGGTCTTGCTTGGCGATTTCAACGCCCATCACGCCGACTGGCTCTGCTCCAGTAAGACTGACCACGCGGGGAGATCTGTCCACGGCTTGGCTCTTGCTTCTGGCCTAACACAACTGGTGACCGTGCCCACGCGAATCCCAGATGTGGAGGGCCAGAAGTCTTCACTGTTGGACCTTCTGCTGACCTCTCACCCGGACGGCTACAGCGTATCCGTCGAAGCCCCTCTTGGCTCATCGGACCATTGCCTTGTCCGGAGCACTGTATCTTGGACGTGCATACCGCGACTACAAGAGGTACGCGGTCGCCGTGTATGGCACTATAGGTCGGCAGACTGGGATGGGATGCGGTCCTTTTTTGCATCCTACCCTTGGAGGCGGGTTTGCTTCTTGCAGGATGATCCCAATGCCGCTGCCAATTCTGTTGCTGATGTGGTGCTGCAGGGGATGGAGCTTTTCGTCCCATCTTCTCTGGTCCCCGTCGGTGGCAGATATCGGCCCTGGTTTGATGCTTCTACCAGAAAGGCCTCACGCAGAAAGCGGGGGGCCTACCAAGCCTGGGTCGATGCGGCGGTGGCACGGGATGTAAATACCAGTGCACTAAAAAAGGAGTATAACTTTGCCTCCAAGTCCTACAAAAGAGCTATTGCGGGTGCCAAGTCGCAGCACATCGGTAGAATTGGTGAGAGGCTGGAGCGCCTTCCTTCAGGAACTCGTTCATTCTGGTCGCTCGCCAAAGCTATCGAGGGCAATTTCTGCAGGCCGTCATTTCCACCTCTGCACATGGGTGAGGATTCGTTGGCTCATAACGCAAGGGATAAGGCTCAACTTTTGGCAAAAATCTTTGCGTCCAACTCGACACTGGATGACGGTGGGCACGAGCCTCCTGTTGTGCCTTGGTGCGGAAGGTATATGCCGGATGTGCGGTTCCACCAGCGCACGGTACGTTTGGCGCTTTTGTCCCTTGACGTCCATAAGTCGAGTGGGCCTGATGGGATCCCACCCATTGTTTTGAAGATGTGCGCCCCCGAGTTGGCCCCAGTTCTAACACGTCTTTTTCGGCTCTCTTACTCCTCAGGCGTAGTTCCGACGTCCTGGAAGACAGCTTTAGTCCACCCAATCCCTAAAAAAGGTGACCGATCTAACCCGTCTAACTACAGACCGATAGCCATAACTTCCCTCTTCTCGAAAATAATGGAGTCCATTATTAACTGCCAGCTCCTGCGTTACTTAGAGGATCATCAGCTGCTCAGTGACCAGCAATACGGTTTTCGTAAAGGGCGGTCTGCTGGTGATCTTCTTGTTTACCTAACGCATCGGTGGGCACAGGCGATCGAGTCTAAGGGGGAAGCGTTGGCAGTAAGTTTAGACGTGGCGAAGGCCTTCGATCGGGTTTGGCATAGAGCGCTTCTTTCGAAGCTTCCTTCGTCGTCGTCGACGGTGAATGCTCTGACTTGATGTCTGTAAACGCAGGTGTCCCTCAAGGCTGCGTGCTATCGCCTACACTGTTCCTCCTCCATATCAATGACATGCTGCAAATCAGCGGCATTCATTGTTATGCGGATGACAGCACAGGCGATGCCTACTACACCGGCCGCGCTAACATTTCTCGGGAAAACGTCATAGAGAGCCGAAACAGACTCGTGTCTGAAATCGAGACCTCTTTAGGGAGAATCTCTGATTGGGGTGGGCTTAATTTGGTCCAGTTTAACCCCACTAAGACACAAGTCTGCGTGTTTACCGCTAAGAAACTGCCGTTGGTCGTCTCTCCTCATTTTCAAAGCACCCCCCCTAACTGCCTCAGCCGGTATTGGAATACTTGGTGTCAACATTTCGAGCGACGTCCAGTTTTGCGGTCATTTAGAGGATAAGGCCAAATTAGCCTCGAGGAAGCTTGGTGTGCTCAATAGATCGAGGCAGTATTTCACCCCGGCCCACCGCCTGCTTCTATATAAGGCACAGGTGCGGCCCCACATGGAATACTGTTCTCATCTTTGGGCGGGGGCACCCCAGTACCAGCTTCTTCCTCTGGACCGCATTCAGCGGCGTGCCGTTCGGATTGTTGGATGTCCAGGTGTTTCAAACCGGCTCGACACTTTGGCAATGCGTAGAGATGTAGCTTCATTGTGCATTTTCTACCGCTTATACCACGGGGAGTGCTCTGAGGAATTGTTTGACCTGATACCTGCCGCATCTTTTCGCCATCGACCCTCACGACAGCATATGCATCCCCATCAAATAGATGGTTGGCAGGCCACAACTGTGCGGTTCTCACGTAGCTTCCTGCCTCGCACAGCAAAACTGTGGAATGATCTGTCGTCGGCGGTATTTCCGAACCGATACGACCTTCAAACCTTCAAGAAAAGAGCGTACTCCTTTTTAAAAGGCCGGCAACGCACCTGTGACTCTTCTGGTGTTGCGGGTGTCCATGGGCGGCGCTGATCGCTTACCATCAGGTGATCCGTCTGCTCGTTTGCCTCCAATTCCATAAAAAAAAAAAAAAAAAAGTGTGGGATTCTTACCTTACTAAAACCACCCCAGTGGCCACCATCATCACCTATGGGGGGCACCGAGTCCTCTATAACAGACCTGCTCTAGACAAGTACCTAGGTACCTGTAAAACGATTTGTAACGTAGGTTATAAGGAATATCAAAATTTAAGAGAACATTTATAAGAAGTTTCGTAACGTATCGATAGCTGTAGGTAGCTACATTGGATCGGATTAGAAGTTGATAAAACATAAGATTAATACATTTGATAAATAGTTACAAGTAATCTCCTTTAGCAAATAAATATCCAAGATATTGATTCAAACATAGTTACTAAGTGGTTTCTTACCTACTCAACTAACACTAAAATATCTTGTTGCAGGCAATGCTGTTCTATGCGCCCCGTTGGTTATGGAAATCCTGGGAGGGAGGCAAGATCCGTGCCTTGATGATGGACCTGGATGTAGGGGTGTGCACGGAGATAGAGAAGAAGACGAAGAAGAAGTTGATCCTCGACTACCTGTGGGAGAACCTGCGGTACCACAACTGGTGGGCCTACCGGTATTACTTGTGCGAGGGACTTGCTCTTGTCAATGTTATAGGTAAGAGATATAATAATGTTTTGTTTCTAAGTAGTAAAATTAATTTACTCTTTGCGGAGTAAAGTATTGTATGGTGACCTGTGATAGGTCTGTAGCCGCTGCAGTGTGTAGTAGCGGTACGGTCTCCGGTACGTTGAGACTGATAATAGTAGCTAACAAAAAGTATAAATATTACTACATTATTTTTATTTAATTATTTATTTTAATACCATTATGTGTGACCTCCATATCTCCCAATCCCAACACTATCAATTGTATTTTTATTGTCCATGGATTTTTTTTTAAGAGGGGAACGTCATCTAATAACTTCTCCCACCTGGGTGAGGCGGGAGGGAGTGTCAGACTCTTACTGACTAAAAACCACCCCGTTGCTTCTCCTGCACGTCGAGCCGGAGCCCCGGTAACCCGTTAGGTTCTCCGCAACATTGTCCATGGATAGATTAATACTATAATAATTAAATAATGCCTATTGTTTATTGGCCGAAAGTCGTAGTTTGTCTACCCAATTTGAAAAAGACATTTGTTTGGTTTACGCATCGTGTACCTAAACCGCAACTAATCAATATTCAATACTTCCACAAAAATCTAAATAATTCTATCACATCGAGAATTCTACATAACATTTATAGTTTCTAGAAGAGCTTTTAAGACCTGTTTTTCCGTCTGAAGTACACAGCCTAATTGGGATCGACAGGAGGGACGCTCCCTAAACACGGACTTAGATTAGGCCGCTCCTAATACTAAAAGCGTTTTGTAAATGTGTCAAGAGTCTTCCCTTATCGCTGCCATCATTCATACTGATTGATTCTGGCCGCCATTTTTGTTTTAAATAACCTCAAATTTTGGCGGTCTTTTATTTTTTGCTAAGTGATTTCTAAGTTGTATTTGACGTTGACAGTATCGAATAGTCGCTTTGGCTTCTGAGTTGTGGTATTGGGTTCGAACTCGAAAATGTATAATTTTTTAAAATGTTTTAGTTGTTTGAGGTGGAAATTCTCAGAAATAACTAATTTGGTGTGTAGGATAGTGTAGTGAGGTCGTGGTGGCCCGGAGGTTTAAGACGCCCGCTTCTCATGCATGAGGGTGCGGGTTCGAAACCTACCAACGGCAAGTACCAATGTGACTTTTTACGAGTTAAGTATATGTACTTTCTGAGATTATTTAGACACCACTGACAAACGGTGAAGGAAAACATCGTGAGGAAACCTGAGCTCGTAATTTCTAATTATAAGTTTGTAATCGCCAATCCGCATTGAGCAAGCGTGGTGATTAATGCTCAAACCTTCTCCGTGTGAGAAGAGGCTTTGCTCAGCAGTGGGCATTTATAGGCTGTTGATGATGATGATGATGATGATAGTGTAGTGATCGATGTTTAATTGTAGGTAACAGCCTCAATTATTATTGGAGATAATACCATAGTCTACACATCATTGGCATACTTTAAGTCTATGAAGAACTTTTTTAACTGTTTTTAACTATACGTTGATTGAAATACCTAAGAAATTTCTTTATTTACATTCTAAATCTGAGAGAATTTCTCAACAGTAAATTGTCCATTTATTAAAAATCTGTGGGCGGGAAGCATGCATCATATTTTTATTTGTTTGTAATTCTAAACTTACAACAGCTATTTGCTTTCACTTCCTGTCGCGTTTCCAATAACAAAAGCCGAGTCGGCCGAGAGGAAATAATGCTGTGTGCGCGATCTCGGCCTATACGGGCCACGACAACTGCGGAGAATGAGCAGTCTTATCTTATGTCTTAATAAGCATATCAGAGTCACTATGTAATCAAATAACTAATTTTTTTGATGTACCTAACTTTGATATTTTCATATAAATTTACATTATATATTTTCTTTTTCCTCAGACAGATTTAAGTGGCACTTTATATACTGTAAAACATTGATTTATGCAATGTGACGTGTTTCTTAAACTGTCAAACACCAAGCGGTCACCGGTGACCGCAACCTATTGTTCTTTAATTGTGTCTATAAACACGGTACTCGACGAGTTAATGTTCATATTCGGTCTATATGACTGGGAAAATATTATAATTTACTATGTACTAACAGTTTAGATATCTCAATAACAATCACATTTATTCACTAGCACTAGACAAACAATAAAATATGGAACAAGAAATACAATACAAGCCTAAATCCTATAAAGAATATTAAGTGTATATCGCTACCGTGTGGAGCGTGTTTATGATAATATCGCGTCGTAACAATGAACGTTTACGCACCGATTTTGTGACTCGCAAATACATTGGAAAGATTTATGTCACACAATATTTGGCAAGTTTTGGCAAGAGTCGCTGTGCTCGTGGCCACACGGACCTAAATATGTTCTAACTGATATATCAGACGCACATCTGTCGCGCGCACGATCTGAATCCTGAATGGTGGTATCGGAGGTAGACGCAGAAGGGATATTTGGTTACATACTTGGATTTTTTAAACTGGACTACGAATAATGTTCGCTGAATATAGTTTTTACTTATATTTTTTATTCAAAATTATCAACTTTTTAGTCAACACTGGCAGAAATCTTACATTTTGATTTAGAATTTTAACTGTAGGTATGCCTAAGTAATGTCTAAGGGAAACTTAAGAAACTTTTTTACTGAAGCATAAAATCTTAGACGCAATACTTGAACAAGCAGCACTTTAACTTTTACGATAGACTAATGAACTATTTCAATTATACAAAGTCATTTTTAAATGTTTAAAAGTGCATTTCGTTTATATAGTAGTATTTCACGCAGGTCTAATTCCTAGAACAAACTTCACCTCTACCCAAACCACTTCATTTGAACTCTGAAATAATCAGATGTATTTTCTGCTTGTTCCTGTCTGTTGTCGTAGGGTCCCACCGCGCCGATTGTAAATCATAACATATTGAATTAAAACGAGCATAAACCAAGTTTTACAGCATACTGCCCATTTTATGTCCGAATGTTGACCTGTGCCCCAAACATGCAATAAAAAAACACCATGCGTCACTTCTTTCGGGCATAGTTTTAGAATTTCTGTTACGATACAAGTTGTGCTGTAAACAATATGGTATTGATCCGTACGATGCTTGATTTGCCTTTTTATTAATTTGAAGACGTAAACCGGCTTAATAAGAGGGCTGCCCATTAAGGGTAATCAAGTAGGGTCGTCCTGTCATGCGTGTAAATTCCTTTTTTATATCGGAAAATTTACCAACGATCAATCTCTCGTCCAAAAATAGAACTACATTAATTTGTTACAATTTGTAAAAAAATATGTGTTTGATCCTACATTTAGGGTGTTTTCTAGATTATGTACCTAGTTTTTGTTACTTGTCTCACTTGCTGTTGTTTTGTTTCCAGGGCAAATGTTCCTGATGAACCGTTTCTTCGACGGGGAGTTCATGTCCTTCGGGCTGGACGTCATCAATTACATGGAGTCAGATCAGGAGGATCGCATCGACCCCATGATCTACATATTTCCAAGGTACCTAATGTAACATCCGCAGCTAACAATTACGATTCGTTTCTAACAATGTAAAAGAAACATAATTAAATTAATCGTAGACTAAACATATAAAACGAATCGTTTGATTTGAATTTAAAAAGTTTATTTTACTTTAATTATTCAAAGTATACACGATATGCGATGTACAGGATTATAGCATATTTGAATGTGTTTAATATAATGTATCTACTGCTGCTAATCCTGCTTACGACACCAATGTAGGTAATTAGGTATCAACACAGTTTTTAATATGTTGCGTCTACATTCCAGGATGGTGAAGTGCACACTGTTCAACAAGTTCGGCTCGTCAGGCGAGGTGGAGCGGCACGACGCGCTCTGCATCCTGCCGCTGAACGTGGTCAACGAGAAGATCTACGTCTTCCTGTGGTTCTGGTTCGTCATCCTCGGCATCCTCACGTTCATCACCCTCGTGTACCGGTTCATCATCATCTTCTCGCCGCGCATGCGCGTGTACATGATGCGCATGCGCTTCCGGCTGGTGCGGCGCGACAATGTGGACACGATCGTGCGGCGCAGCAAGATGGGCGACTGGTACCTCCTGTACATCCTCGGGGAGAACATCGACTCGGTCATCTTCCGGGACATCATGCACGAGTTCGCGAACAAGCTGAACCACAACTACCAGCACCACATCCACGGCGTGCCGGACGCGTGACCTCCGGTGCCGGGGTGGGTGTTCCACACGTGACTGACGTCGCTGCAGCGCGACATGCTGCCGCCCGCCTGAGTGCGCGTGCGCCGCCTCGCCTGCAGTACCCCACGCATGTTCTCTTCTGGACAATACTAACGAGTGTAAAGACTACTTTTATCGATACTTTTTAATCGAAATCGTAACAGTGCAATTCTAAACATGCAATAATAGTTTGTACTTAATCTTTAAGAACGTGATCTCAGGACGAATCCTATCGAAGGCCTTGTAATAGTTAACATCGACGGCTACCCCGTTAGTGCTAGTATACTTTTAGAACTATTTTACTCATAGTCTCGCTGCTCGTAGTCAACTGTTAATCGACGCTTCTTTTGTTTTCTACTTTAGCTGTTGTAATATACACACACACACACATACACACACGATATACAATTTTACACGTTTCACTCGCCAAGGATTTGACAGACCAAAAAAATTAAAGCAATAATTAATAAAGCAATTAAGTATTATAGTGTAGTTGTAATTGAGGATATTACTAGTAGGAGGAACAGTTGTTTAGGGGAGGAGTAAGTACCCGCGTAGTAAGGTCACCGCCAGTTTACAGTCACGTAGCTTTTGCGTGTCAAAAGACATTTACGTTGTATGCAGACTTAACGAACGAACTATTGAACATAACCAAGAAATAAGTAATATATTGATTCCAGCTCCCGGTCGTATCATATTAGTTATTGAATACGATGTGAGAGCTACTTTAGTGGGAGAATTTTGAGAATTTCGCAGTGGGATGTACATACATCCCGTGCTCATGAGTTGGCTGGGAGAATCAGAACACAAATGATATAACCACAAACGACGGACCCCGCCACATTTAGCGCTCAAATGTAAAGTTACTATGACGAGAAGCACACACTGCCAACACTAACAGATCACATAAATGTTCACTAAGATGTGTTTGAAAATCATTTTGTTGTATCTCTATTGATTTTATAAAACGGAGCGACTGAATTCTTATAATTTATTCGATTAGATGATATTATTGATATTTTGCTTGAAGACGTGTAAACAATATTTTCAATAATGACATTCTTGTGACGTTATAAAACCTAAGTGTTGATTAAATGTCTTCATTCAAATGTTTTAGTAGTAAGCTTGCAGATTGAAAGTAAAAAAGACAGGAAACTAAAACTTAACTTGTAGAAATAAAATGTTAAGGTAATTTGTAGCTAAGTTAGGTGACAATAAAGTCTATATTTACTGTTCACTTTGAACCTGCAAGCCTATGACGCTATTTAGAGAAATTTATTTGCCTAGAAGTAGGCTAAAAACTAATATTGTTACAAACAATTGTTGTATTCGTGATGATTAGAGGTGTGTCGGTGTTACTGGGCTGTTTGGTCTCCAAAAAGTAACAACGGACGTTATTTGAAAATACACCTTAAGATTTAAAGTGTTGGTTCGAGCTTTGACTGCAAGTGAGGTGCAAAATTGCGAGTGTGATGTGATTTTTGGACAATTCATGTGAAGCTGCATCGAGCAAAAAGTACAGTGATCTTGCAGAGTTGTAGTTCAAGAACCGACTTAATCTTCAAGTTGTTAAGGTTCATAATACATGGTTGACAGATAAGTTTCATATAATTTTTGGAGACCACATAGCCTTAGTTCACAAAACACATAAATATTGTAAATGTAAAGAGGTTGTCTGGTTGTAAAGATGTAAAGTGTTATAATTTTATTTTTATTTGCTGATGTGTTCGGATACAGCCGTTAAAGGCTCCAGTTATTAATCAAATGCAAGTTACTTTCTAACGCCCGTATTCGAATGATAAGATAATAGGTCTCGCATCTTATTAACTCTTTGTATGAATAAGATATGTGTATTATTAGATACACATTCATTAACTTAATCCTCAATGTATTCGCAATTTAACCAACACGTAATTTTTATACAAACATGATACAGTAACTTGTTACGTGCTGTGTTACGCAACATGTAATGCAACGAATACGGGCGCAACAGCAACACGATATTGCAACACTTAGTGAACCATGCCAAATATTGTGCCAAAACATTATTCCTAGAAGTGTTACAGATGAAGGTTACCATGGGAGATATCGAATAAATAATTATGAAAATCAACTACATTTTGTTTTAATTTCTGTCAAAAAAGTCAAAAGTTTAATTCCTGTCAAAATCATTTATTTATTATTAGGAAGGCACTTTTGAACGTCAAAACAAAATATTTAAATATTAACTATAAACGCAACTCCACTGTAGCATCAACAACTTGCAGAATATGAAGGCCAGAAACGGAGATTATTAAAGAAACAACTTGGTATCGATAATACAGAATATTATTTTCTTACAAAGCACATTTATAACAAAAATACAAATATTACATCTCCTCTCGTCAATAGTCCCGCCAACAGCATGCCGCCATCCGTTCAAAATCCTCTTCGTTTTCCCGCCTTTTTCGACCGCCGTCTCGAAATCGTCCAATGACGTTTCGAGAATTCAAGCCCGTTCTATTTTTTTTCAAACCCGCTTTCTCGATGACATTTCGAGAATCCAAGTCCGTTTTATTTTTATGTTTGTTTATGGTCAATCACAAAGAAGTTTAGTCTATTACACAATAAAAATACAAATTAAATAAATAAATTATATCATAATATTAATTAACCCTAACATAACTATAACGAAAAAATGTCAGTCCGTAGGTCAGTCCTCTAGTGAAGCTATTTGCTCGTTTCAAAGTGTAGATTCCTATGGAGAAGAACTAATAAGAAACTCCATAGGTTACTCTTTTTCAATCATGTTCACCTGACACAATTATATTGCATTTGCTGGGCAAGGGCGTCGGGAGCAGGAAGCAAGGGGGGTTCACCAGCACTCCTATTAAGAGAGAAATCATTAAAATGTACCTACATTTCGTAGAACTTTTGGAAATTAAAATCCAAAATATCTCGAAAACTAGTCAAGGAATGGAATCTCAGATTTATTATAAAAATAAAATTTATTTAATAAAAACTAGTTAACAATGTTTGGTGATCGAAGTCCCAGAACAGAATGAATGTATTTAATAGAATTTCCAAATAATTGTTTGTCCAAATAAGGGTGCTATATTACTTATTGCGAAAGAGGTAATGTGTAAGCATAATTTGTTCCAAAAATATTCTACACGTGTTTGTGAAAAGATTCTAACATTTATAACATAACATAACATCACCCTTAATCCCCGACGGGGTAGGCAGAGGTGCACATTACAGCACTTAATGCCACTGTACAATGTAACACCCACTTTTTCACTTTTTATGTTATGAGTCACATATAACAGGCTAACGCCTATTGCCATATACCGGACACAATTCCAGACTCCGTGCTACTACTGAGATTCTTTTATTTTTATTTTTTTTAACTATTATAATCGAACCCGAGACCCTTTGTCCGGCAGTCGCACTTGCACACCACTCAGCCAACGAGGCAGTCAACTAGCTACAGTACAGCTACAGTAGCTGACTTATATACCTACTAGTTATGTTGCTAAGCTGTATTAATGCTGACATAACATATATCTATAGGGTGGGGATGTCGCGGAGAACCTTTTTTTTTTTTTTTTTTTTTTTTTTTTTTAAGGGGGGAAAATCATCGAATGACTGCTCCCGCCTGGGTGAGGCGGAAGGGAGTGTCAGACTCTTACTGACTAAAAACCACCCCGTTCCTTCTCCTGCACGTCGAGCCGGAGCCCCGGTTACCCGTTAGGTTCTCCGCGACTCCGAATCGGCATCGGCCCTATTGGGCCCCATCTGTGGTGGTCTGATGGCTCTTTGAGGCGCGCGCGGAACGCGACGCGCCGTACGCTCGGGTCTGTTTCTGGTCGGACGGGGAGCCACCCATGCTCGCCGTCCGCAGGCCCGCGCTTACGGTGGCCGGAGATCGTCCCGCGATCCCCGACGCCCGGTGTGTCCTTCGCGATGGCTGGGTCGCGAGGAGGCAGCGCTTCGCTGCCTCACGCGTCCCGCCTCCTCCTTAGCTAGCATGACTGCTTCGCAAAAGGAGGAGACGGCATCCCAGTCCCCCTCGCTCCGCATCATGGCCTGCACTAGGCCCGGACGCGAGAGGTCGCCATCGCCGATCACTTCCCTGAGGGCACGGCGGTGCTCAGCCCACGCAGGGCATTCCGCTACGGTGTGCTCCACCGTGTCCTCAGGGCGGTCCTCGCAGTGATGACACCCGGGCGTTTCCTCCCGCCCCATCAGACACAGGTACCTCCCGAAACTGCCATGTCCGGTGAGGACCTGCGTCAGGCGGTAGGTGAGGACGCCGTAGCGTCTCTCAAGCCACTCCTCAAAGAGGGGACTTACCGCTGCAATGGCAGCGAGCCAGAACCTAACGGGTAACCGGGGCTCCGACTCGACGTGCAGGAGAAGGAACGGGGTGGTTTTTAGTCAGTAAGAGTCTGACACTCCCTTCCGCCTCACCCAGGCGGAAGCAGCCATTCGATGATTTTCCCCCATTAAAAAAAAAAAATAGGGTGGGGATCCTTAACTAGGTCTTAGCCAAAAGATAACCAAAATCTCGAACGTAGGTACGTACGCACCCGCTGTAAAGATGTATTTTTACAATTAATGAACTGGGTGGAAATAACCTTGGTTGAAAACTTGGTCAAACATCGAGACACGGGTAACCGGGGCTCCGGCTCGACGTGCAGGAGAAGGAACGGGGTGGTTTTTAGTCAGTAAGAGTCTGACACTCCCTTCCGCCTCACCCAGGCGGGAGCAGTCATTCGATGATTTTCCCCCCTTAAAAAAAAAAAAAAAAAAAAAAAAAAAAAAAAAAAAAAAAAAAAAAAAAAAAAAAAAAATGGATGGAGTGCACAGGGCAGAACCTTGGACCCAAATTTTCACGGATAAAATATCTCAAAAACTAGAGGCCCTAGACCAAAAGAAAGCAGAAAAATGCTGCAAAACTGCGAATAAAAATTATTTTCAACCAATGAATGTTTACAACAGAGAATATACAGATTAATTAAAATGTAGGACAGTTAACAAAGATTCCATGAAACGTCAACACAGCGGTGTTCCATGAACTCGTAACTGCATTGAAAAGAAACACGCACGAGTGAGGCGATGAGCCAGAAACACTGATAAACTAATACAATGCTGGGTTTGGTTCCACACAGGTTGGTATACATAGGTTACCAGTACTCAGTCAATGTATGTTCATTAATTTTAATATACCTGGGTATTTTATAACAGTGTGTTATTAATAGAAATATCCAATTCTCATGCATAATTCGAGAATATATTGATATCCATATTGGAATATATAAAATCTATATATAGATATAAACTAATAATCAATAACTTGAGCTAAGATAAATAAAATTTAAAATATTTACAACTAAAATTAACATTAGCAAGAAAAACTAACTCAAATCATCAAAAACATTATCTTCATCATTGTCATGAGGAAGGGTGCCCACACGACTGGCAGCCACGTTGGGTGACAATGCTTAACCGTCCAATAGAAATTAATGTAATGCCACAAGTGTTGCGGGGCGTACATAGGCCACGGTAACAGCTTACCACCAGGTGGGCCGTCGTGGTATAAAAAAAAAATATTTTATGAAAAGCTTTTCATTTAATTCTATTTTCTACTTCTATTTTTAAAAACGTTGCCCCTCTTTAGGTTTCTCTCCCGTGTCGTGGGGGCGTATACAAATGTACAAGTTCACATAGTGTTCACATACACAATGACACTCAGACCCGAAACAACAATTTGTGGATAACACAAAGTGTTGTTCCGTGCGAGAATCGAACCCGCGACACGTTGCACGGCAGCCGATTGCCCAGCCACCGCACCAACCGTGCAGTCATAATTTTTACTTAGATTATGTTAATTATTACTTAGATCTATTAACTTTTTTAATTATTACGTATTTCTATTTACGTAATTCTCCAACATATAGACTGCTGTTTATTATACTAGTTTTAAGCTTACCTTTCAAAATGTCTTATTATAATCTAGATAGTGAGAGGGTGACCAAATAAAACCAGGTAAATAAAAGAATAATATTTGTATAATTCATCTGAAAATGAAACGCCGCGTCTTCTAACAGCTATACTTACAAACAATTACTGTTTACGTACGTCTAAATAAAATAATCACGATATACTTTCATGCAACTTTCTTTTATAGGACTAATAGACAAGCGTGGAAGAATCATTTAAAGTAGCTGTTAAAATATCAATACTAATACGATAATATCATATTCGTATTAATATTTTAACAAAAAATACAATTTCATTGACAACTGTATAGATTTTACACCATCCGTTATAAGAAAATCCATTCGTTCTAACAAAAAGTATAATTTGCAAGAAAAATCTAAAAAATGTATACGAATTTAACTTACAAAATAATGTCTTAATTCGAGAACATATCGTACAGAGTATATAAATATTAACACAAAGGTTTTAAACTAAATATAATAAATGCTTCATTCTTTATTTTATTCTAAATTTCTTAAACAATAAAAATGTAGAACATTCGTGATGTATTTCCAATATCACTTTTTCATGACACGCGTTACATCATAAAATAATCGAAAAAGGCGCCAAATGGACTAGGGTTGCCACTTAAAAAAATAGCAATGAAAAGTATAAAACAACCAAATTAAAATAAGGAGAAAATATTTTTTGAGAATGGAAACCTTAGTCCATGGTGAGAAACAATGATTTTCATTTTTGACAGTACCGTAGCTAGGAATTTGGACGCTCAGTTACCCCAGGCAAAGGAATTTCACAGAAGACTTCACATTTTAGCAAAATTCTTGCCGCCTTGGCCTGGTCTCTATTAGCACCATCCTAGTCACGGCCCTATCTTGAACACAACCTATTTCCTAATTTTTTTAACTAAAATTAATCGTCTGTTAGGAACATACGTATAAACTATTAAATTCACTATTTACATACTGTCTGTAATCGAAACACTACTGAAAAACGCTACAATCTTTGTCACACGACTTTTTTCCATCATACCTTAGGTTTTAAGGGGTCTCAAAGTCGATATTTGCGTAATTTTCAGTATCAAAAAACTAAGAACGTCACTAAAATGGAACTCGTACGTTGCGTGCGCAAATCGTACGTAAAATAATAATTGTAATGTATATTAAAATTACTAAATATACAGATATACTTCTTGTGATCCTGATATTACATATATATGGCATTTTCTTGAGCGCATCGTAAGGCTTCACTTATTCTCTTATACGTATATATAGTAAAAAGTTTATGGAAGTGTTATCATGAGTGAAATTCAAGTAATTTCAACTTTATTTACTTCTTGTCTAAGTCGGTTTTTAAATATTAACAGTTTAACAACACGTTTACTTGATGAGATGAGATGGAGCAATGATGTGCTCCCTGGCACATTCAAGAAGAGAGCCTTCGTTAATGAGAAAATGATATCATATTAAAACTTAACAATTCATCTAAAAAGTCAACTTTTAACGCGCAAAAGAGCTAAAATGCTAAAAACAACTCCAATATAGAGGAGTTTATAATTTTTTACGAAAAATGAACACCGACAGTCAGAGGATCACAACACTAGTTACGATTAGCATGGCCCCGCCACATGGCGACACCATTGCGAAAAAACTAAATGATATTTTTCACACCGAAATTTGTAAACCTAATTACTATATAATAAATACACAAATAATACAATATCACTGACTACATACAAGTATAAAAGTTGGAAATATCCAAATACAAAGGCCGTAGACACACAACACTTACTTATCCGATATTTGACAGTTACACAATTTTGTTGGAAACCATACAAGTTCACACATTTTCATACAAGTCTAATTAGTTAAGGCCATACATTTCCAGTCCATATGATCATGTCAGTGCTTCTTATTAATAGATACTATACAAAGTTTTTATAAAATCTCATATGACGAGATTTTAAACTTAGAGTTGCCAATACAAAAAATGTTTATAAAACAAATGTTGCTACACTAAAAAATAAAAGATTTGTGCTGTAAATTGTGATGGTCATTCTGATGTATAAAAGAAAATGTTTTTATATGCAATCATTATTTAGAATTAAATCAACTAATCTTAAAACAACTGTCGGAGTTTGTGAAAACTGAAATAATTGTAAAGACAACCTACATAAAAATAACTACATGATATGCATTAAAAATTTGTAATTTTTTTTAAACAGATCAATAGATGCAATCAAAAACAGTTTACATTTTTACGATACCGCTAACAACAAATTACAATTCTATTAATTTTGGTAATACGAAAAATGTGATGATGGTATTATAAAAACTGCCGAATTATTTTGGCTGAAGTTTAGGCTCATTACTTAAAATGATACTTTTCTACGGAAAATAATAACTTGGCATTATTATACCAAGTTATTATTACATGACAGTAATATATCGTAAAATCTAGTTTTTGCTTTCTCCAACTATCAGATCTAAGTAGAGATAGAAAAAAGTAAAAATGAGTTTCAAATTTGAATTTAAATGTAATGAATATCTGAAAAAAGAGAGAACTATTTCGAGATTTCATTGGCAGTGATGTCACTAAAGACTATTATTGTTTGTAGCTCAATTTGTCTCTATCATTGATATAAACAATACCTCATATAAAAAAGTTAAATGTTAGAATGATTAAATAACATAGGTACTATTTCGTTGTTTAACAGGCATCTAAAGACATATCAAAATAAAAATATGAATTAGATCTGTAAGCTTAAAATATACTAGATAAAATCAGATTTTCCATAGAGATTTCTTGTTTTGTGATTCCATGTGTAGTGATTTTAACATATTTCGGACGAATATATAAAGTAAATCGCACAAACTAATGAAGGTTTTCGCGCCACTAGAGGCGCTGCTATAGCTTAAGAGCTATGGACCATCTTTAGTCAGTCAACTTGTCAGATCAGCTGATTGGTCGAATAGATTCTCACGCCACTAGCACCATCTAGTGTACGCCAAACGAAAACCCTCATTGTTAATATTACCAGACGAAATCTGGACAATCAACTAATTTATGGCCATTAGCTTCATTTAAATCTCTTATCTATACATTATAGCATCTATTGCGATGTCCTAAGAGTATTCTACGCTATAAGTAATGTATTTCACGACAATATAGACAATTTGAATCTTATAAACTTATAAATAAGGTAAATTCTATATTGTCGTGAAACGCATTGACTATTTTTATTGCGAAAATCGGGCAAGTAATTGACTAATGTCGACTACAGCTGAAAAATATTTTTAAATCTATTTGAAATAGCCATTAAAACTAATCCATTTTATATAAAATTCATTCGAGCTGATTCGAGTTTTATGTTGTATTCTAGTTTTAATTTCCATTCAAAGTCAAACAAGCATTACTTTCAACGTCAAAATAGCATTGTCCGCCAATCTATCGTTATAAAACTTACACAATGTCAAGTATTGTTTCAAATAGACAACTTTAAACTTACTTTATTTTCACCTCTGGATAAGTTAATTTTAGCACAAATTCTATTTATATCTGCTTATTAAAACTAATAATCCAATACAGCATAATATAAAATATACTTAGCTGTAGAAATGTCAAAATTACTCTTGAAAGTGTTCCCAAGCCAAACACTGCCAGTATCTGTTTAAAAGACCAGGTCTACTAGTCTATTAGACCGGTCTACTTAGGAAAAGAAACCTTAAACTGCCTAGTTTTTGAGCTTTGAAAAATTCGAGTAAATTGCGTAAATAAGGTACTGAAGGCGGATAATGACGAAAATATATGGAATGTCTTATGTAGAGATATTTTAAGGTTTTTATATGATGATGATAATTTGCCTGTTGGGTCCTGTGATGTCCAGTGGTGGGGTTGGGAATGTGGGAGGAGGGGAGGCATGTGTCAGACGCCTAGTACGGCGACGCTGGGTGGCGGCCGTCACGCACGAGCTCCTGGCTTCTCTCCCATGCGCTTGGACAGCTCTGAGATTAGCTCCCTGTGGAAACAACAAAATAGGAATTATGTAGCGATATTTATTGTGTATAAAGTAACACAATGATTAATTGCAAAAAAGATGTAATTCTAAAACAGTTCACCTCATTAATGAATTTAAAAAATCAAGTGTATGTCAACGCATTTATTATTATTATTAATTTTGATGACTTCATAGGGGCTGACTGTGATGACGGTGATTCTAATTAACTTTGATAAATACAAAGATTTAGAACCTTAGAGATCTTTTGAGCAAAAAACGAAGTAAGAATTATAGCCTTTATTTTTATCGAACATAGTACAACTATTACCTGTATATAAGCGGGTCCATGTTCCTGGCGAGCATGTAGAGCAGCCACCAGTCCCCGATGTCAGTGCGGCGGGAGACCAGCACGGCGGTCTCCATCGCCAGCGTGCGGGACCGCGCGTGTAATAAGCGGGGTCGCACTGATGGCACGAAGATTATCACCAATCTGGAATTAAATGAATAGTACTTTAAAACTTCGCTATTTAGGTACACAAATGTTAACAGGTGACAGGTGTAGTCCAATTTGCTGTTCAAAATTTTTCTTCGTGCTTGTAGAACGGAACTCAGCATTAACTCTAAGAAGCAGTTAATTAATCCAGAACTAGGACAATGAGGCAAAATTGTATATTAGAGACCTTTAAATGCCTAACAGGCACACCATTCTAAAAATCACACAACTTTAGAATTGTATAACTAATTTAGACAGGAATCCATCTAGTTATCCGTCCGAGTATCGGTCTAGTTTAGTATCCATCTTCTTTGCGAAAAAGTACAAATTAAATTAAATTTTCTATTGTTAAAAATATCTTGACTATGACGATGTGTTCTACAACCGACAACAACAATTCTACAAGCTTTATGTATATCACAGCTATGTATGTTACGACGTGCCTTATCACCGTGCATGCCACACGGACACCCGATTACCTGTGTACAAGGTACAGCTGATAGCGGCCCTTATGTCATAATTATCATAACCACCATGAAGAACTCTGTCATAATATACCAGCTTTGTGTCATTGGCTATTTATAGAATAAACGAACAGTATTGGAAGCTGCGACGAGTGCACGATACAGTGCATTCGTTCAATACAATTTTTAATTAATACTTTTTCTACTTTTACGACAGTGTTTTGGTAGAATCACTGCTTACACTTACAGTCGCTAGAGGCGATATGTAATAATCTTTCAGGAAACAAAAAGTATGATACTGAAATACTATGTTCAATAGCAATACATTTTTATACGCAGTATTTATTATACTTTAAAATTGACATTTAGTTACGGTTATTACATAAAGCCAAAGAGCGCGACATGTTCACATTACCAATACCATAAAAATCCTATCGAGTTACCATTTACAGAAATCACTTTTGTTTGAAGAACTTGTTATCGACCCCGAGTTATAATATTTTGCATCTATATTATCACCAGAAAGGGTACAGTTCCTCCGCACTTTATTTAGTTAAAAACAATAAAACCACATTTCGAAATCAAGAGACTAGATATTATATGCCTGGGCTAAGGATAGAATACGAATTCTCGTGCCGGAGTCCCATATCTCCCTCATTTATATACAAAACCCAGATCATAAGGTAAACCCTATAATTCTGACTCACCTGTATATCACAAGAAGGCTCAGCACGACTGCTAGGATGATGTACCAGAACCACAGGAAGATGTACGTCTTCTCATTCACAATGTTCAGCGGTAGAATGCACAGACTGTCGTGTGTTTGAATACTGCCTGATGCACCGAACTTGTGGAATGTACACTTCGTGATGCGAGGGAATATATAGATCATTGGATCGTATCTGGAATTTAAGAAAGAAATTATAGTTATTTATTTGTTACAAACAATTAAAGAAAACACAACAATAGAGAGACAAGACACATAACGAAGATTTATTATTTTTCAAATATTTATTTTCAAGTAAGTTAAAATCATGGTTAACAAGCAAACACCTAGATATCATTTAAGACAGTAAAGTGTTTCATGAGTAATTTAAGAAATTAGTTTTTTGTGTCGATTGTATAACAAATATCGTCCACTCTGTTAATTTTACATAGAATTTGTAGTGACAGAACTGTACTTAAGCTTACTTAGAATTGAGTAACGTTTCGGGCATAAAACAAGTAAACTTAAACGGATTGTGAAACGAACGAGTATAAAGGTTACAATGGCGGTTTACTATATCTTTCAACAATGTGAACAATATTTGACTGCATGATTGGCGCGGTGGCTGGGTAACTGGCTGCCACGCAACGTGTCGCGGGTTCGATTCCCGCACGGAACAACTCTGTCTGATCCACAGATTGTTGTTCCGGGTCCGGATGTCATGTGTATGTGAAATTGTATGTTTGTAAACGCACCCACGACACAGGAGAAAATAACAACGTGGGGGGGCAACGTATTTTTTAAAAAAAATACTTAAAGAAAGTTTAAAAAAATTGAGCCTACCTCTCTTCTTGCGGCACCTCGCTGTACCCCAGCACCCTGGTACCATACGAGAAGAACTCTCCGTTGAAGAAGCTGTCCATCATCCAGAGCTGCAGCACAATGTTCAGCAGACACAGGAGCTCGCAGCCCCAGTACCGCAGCGCGTACAGCTTGTGCGTCTGTAAGTGAAGTTGCTAAGTTGAATATTTTGGAACTGAATAGAACTGTAATGTGATCAGAAAATGATTTGCAGAATACTTCTTTGCCATTATAATTTAATAAAGTTTTCCAATTATGCCATTAGGATATTAATCAGATCTTTTCAAATCCACATTAAGGTTACTTAAGAATATAACTACTACTACTACACACCATTATACCTATGAGACTCTTCAAATATTTATAAAAACCAAAAGTTTCGCTACGTTATTGAAAAGCCCTATGAGTTTCAGACTTTAATAAAGATCATCAGAAAAAATCTTTATCTAGAGAAAACTTATCAAACATATCGTATAATAACTACGGCAAGGGTTTCATAATTGTCACCCACAATTTATCAAAATCACATAATCTGTTTTGAACCGATACTCCACTTGATGGTCCGGAAGTGATAATGACAATGTCCACTTAACCGCTGGTATCAAAATACCAGAATACTCAATTTCCACTCGAACAGCTCATTGTTGTGACTGTATTTACACTGAAGGTTATGGTAACTTTGTTATGACGTATGGTAAAAGAGACACCCCTAACAAACTAGGCTGAAAACAATATTAAAAATTAGTCGTCAGAAGTAATCCCTTACCTATCTGACATACAATAATAATAAGAGACAATAGAAAAATGCCTAATTTATATGTATTCTGCAGCTGTAGCCAAATGCTATTTAGAGCTTGTCTACACGTAGAATTATATGGGATTGACGTAAATTTTGACACTGGTCAGTGTCATCCCCATACATTTTGATTTCTAGTCTCTCTGTAGACAAGCGCTAAAGTGGCGTTTGGCTAAAGGCACTGGGTGGATATCACGCCACTAAATAACATGGCGAACTAAAAAGCCACTAAACATTTTCAATAAAGCCGAGCATTCGGAGCAGAAGAAAAAATGCTTCTCTCCACATATCTAAGTGTATGAGGACATAAAGCCGTCGGCTGTATTAAAATTCCTTAGGAGTGAACAACCGTTTAATGAAGACCCGAGTACTGTCCCCGGGGCGACAATTGTGCTCTTACATACAACAAATTGAGATATTTTGTTTTATTATTAATGTAAAATGTGATAGACATTTGATTCTAGAAGTGAAGGTGATAATGTCAAGCGGAGCATTCAGTCTATTAGCTCTTGTAGTTAATTTTCAAATAAGGTAAACAGATGACAGACTTAAAAATGATTGCAGCGCCATCTATGGTTTCAAATAAGCCATCTAAAACGTTCTCTAAATACATAGACACACCACTACTATGCTGCCAATAAATTAGGAACGAGAATATAAGTAAGAGTTTAAAAAAGCTCTATAAATATTTCGATTTCCAAGTTATTAACATTTTTGTGTGACATAATCTCCCAAACACTCCACGCTTAGTGTAACAGGCTCTTGAACACGAGTGTCGCTACATCATAATGTCACTTTATCTCGAGTAGATATTAGCGGACTATTGACCGACGTATTAACGTGAGAGCTATTTAACCCACAAAGATAGGAAGTGGTCATTTTACATCTAAATGTTTTGTCATTAGTTGGGAATGTTCTAGAAAAAAGGATATTTCCTCCTTTAGTAAAGGTTTTAGGAACTGAAAATATGTGTGGGAATTCACATCAAAACGGTACTCGGCCAGCACCGTTTTGATGCAACCATATCAAACAGCAGAAATTTGCCTAACTCCCTCGGACTTCCTAATTCCGGTCGCAACACGCAATGCAACAATGGAAACTGTGCCTAATCAGGTCTTCCTGTACCATGCGGTTCATTATCATCCAACTACTGAGAATTGCACAGTCAAAGGACCCCATTCACGAGACAATAGATGGAGTATCAGTGGTGGCTCTGTTTAGTTTATCAAGCACTGACCGAGGTCTATACAAATGAGCTTTGTCACTGGACCCAGTTATGATAATCTCTTGAACGGGTCGCTTGAGACGCACAGAGAATAATTATTGGAGATATAGAACAGATAACGAAGCAATAAACGTATGAATATCTCTTTGTGATGATGAAAGGGAAATTGAATCTGAAGTTTATCTAAGGTATGTGGTTGATGAATGTTTTATCTGTAGTAGTAGTATTATGATGAGGACGACGCCCGAATACCGAAGCGCTTCTCAAATTTAAGTTGTATTTTAATATGGTAATATCTCTGTCGTTTTACAAAAAAAAAACTATTCTTGAGAACGTCTTAAAACTGTGTGGCGTTTCAGTATTTGAGTATGAAGTACTTGCTGAGATTCAAGCAGAGAAGTCTATGAGACTGCTAAGAGCCTAAGAAAGATAGTCCCAGTTTCATCATGGCTCAAAAATTAAGTCAGAACATGGCGACAAAATACTTTTCTTTAAAGCAGTCCGAAATTTTCCCTAACCATCAAAGGTTCTATCATAAAAAATATTGAGAGACTCATAAAGTTTTCCATTTATGCAAAGTTAGACAAAAGGCGCGATAAGCATATATAACTATACATACCTATCGGAAGTTATGAATATTCTGTCATGTGTGAAGGGGCAGGGTTAGTGCTTAAGTTATAAAAATAGGTGATCTAACTGTCAATCGTGTAGGAAGACCAGACGGACATTAAAATAGCCAAGATTGTAATTAGCAACGTTTGTAACGGACCTTTATTAGTTATTTGTATTATTTGCAATGTTGATTCTATTTGATATTGCGATATGTTAAGTCGTTTAGGAGATGACAAACATATAGTAAACTGCTTTAAGTCTGATTATTACCACATTATTACTGTTTTGTTAAATTCGTAAATAAAACTGACAGATAGTAAAACATGAGTCCTGATAAATATCCTTAAAAAAATCGTGTGAGTTCGGAATAAATTTCTTTGTTTTAATAATAAGTATTGACTATCTATCACTTCGGGCAATAACCGACACGTGATAAACAATAAAACAATTCTATAAATAAATAACACAAAAAACCTAAGTATACCCAGGAACCATTGTGGCTGTTAACCTTCAAAAAGGTCAGTTTAACTCGCATTGAGCTTCTAAATTAAGTGTATGGGTAGCACGTGGCTTACTCTACGAATGACTATTGTCTATAACTTATTAAATCTTGTACTTAATAAGTTATAATTTAGCTTGAAAGAACAAAAACCAACCTTAAAGCTGTAATAAAAAACTGTTTTTAGAATATCTGCAAGCATAGTGAAGTTAATGTTTATACTATAACAAAATTGTCTTTAAATACTATTCATATAGGCATAGATGGGATTGGTTGACAAACACAGTTGATGCAAAACATGAACGATATCATTGAATAACTTTAATTATGCGTGAAGTAAACATACCTAGTTCTATAAAACATTTTTTCTACAATAAGGATTAAAGCAATACCTACATGCATAGCCCAAAACCAATTCAAGTTTTCGTGATTATCAGTCACGCTTAACCAAAAGACAAAGGCAGTAAGGCTAGTAAGCTAAATAAATAATTATTTAAATGAATGGGTAGCGTGCTCCACGTGGTAGAACTTACAACTGATCAAAGTACATTTATAACTTGTCTACAAGGTAGGTCTTGCATCAACTTGCGTCACATTTGCATCATTGTAAAGCCTTTCGATAGATGCCTTATTATGCTTACATTGAGTAGACAGACAATAGTGTTCTTAAGTTTCGGATTTTTTATGCAACACCTTGTAGATTGTAGATATATGGTGATTAATAGGACTTTAATAAGATTTCAAAGATGATGGTGTTCCTAATAGATTACTGATACAAGTCGATTAAATACATTAAGATCCAAAACGGTGTAAACGAGGAATCAAATCGTTCTTTCAATTATGTCAAAGAAGTAAAGCAGTTAGGAAAAAGAAAGTTTGTGCAAATTGTCATCCAAACTATGTCTATCTGAACAGTTTCGTCCAGAAAATGTAGCATATGACTCAACCACTCACCAATCAAAAGAGCCATTATTTAGTAAAATACACCATCAATTTAGCACCAACAATATCAAATTCCAAACCAAATTACAATCTTTATTATTTCCATTGATGAATGAATACGTGCGAATTTCCCCACTTCCCTCGCACAATGCTCAATGGACTCGCCCTTGTATTGAGACGTCGATTAGGGTCGATAAGCGAAAGCAGAGGGGTAAGTCGGCAGATGCACATGTGAATAGTGACGGCGCACCTGGCGCTTTTTGTATCGAATAATACCGATATACTAGTTTTGATGGACATTTTGTTCTGTTTATTGGTGTACTAGCAGATAGTGCTTGATTTATACACCGTAATGTTCAATATGATGATGGTAAAGAAGAATATGTTTGTCTTAATAACAGAGGGCTTACTCTTGATAGTAATCCCAATGACATTGTACAAAACTTGTTCGAGTTAATTGTAGGTACTTTACAAAAACTTTCTTTCATCCCAAAATTACGCAAACACTTTCAATTTCATCCAAAAATATTTGAAATGTCATCTAGACAACATGATCTGGCTGTTTAGAATTCACCAGACGCACCTACTAACACCAGACACTGGCAGTCAACAATTACGGCTGGCTTAACCCCATACCATTAAACAAACAATCGAGTTAGTCGAGTCGTCTTACTAATTAGTCGGTTGGTACCGCACTAGTGTTTCACATCACTATCCCATTGTTGCCCTGACACACATGAGACCGACAATCAAGCAAGGAGTATCATTACACTTTCATAACCGCCATGATGGTTTCGCAATTTGATCGTCGGAAACATTGGAGTTATAAAGCCAGTGGTCAGTTACTAAGACTCACTGAATTTCTTATGGAAAAAAGCTAATTGCTGTTCCATAAAATTCATGGCACTATAACATTAAGATGATATTTATGGTAACTGATATTTCGATTATATCGCTAGAGCAATTTTCCGTTTACAAAAACGTTGATGTCAAGATATGTATTATTGTCTAACCAACAAAAAGAGATGGTAGCAGAAAAATCTCTGTTTTAGGTAAAAATAACCAG